TTAAAACAAACACAAGATTTAATTCATGAATTAACTAATGCAAAAAATGTTGAAACTTTTGATCAACTTATACCAAAAGCAAAAACAACATTATTCGAATATCAAACTTCATTTGAACAATTACAAAGATTAAGAAATCGATGTAACCGTTTGGTTCAAACAAATAAAACATCAGAAGCCGTGCAAAAGGTATACAATTAATCTTACAAAGGCACATTGTCATAATTATCGAAACACGATAGTTCCAACAGTGAATTGAAGTTGGAACTATTGAACATTTTATATGAGTTGAAGTCAGAGACGTCCATCGCAGTGCGGTAGGAATTTATACATAATCTCGACGTTAATATATGCTGCACGATAAAGCTTGAAGAATCTTATTGATTGGCAGGAGCTACTCTAGTTTAAACTGTTCACAGCCTTGAAAATCCAAAGATTATTTAAAATGCCATCGCGGCAACGGTGCGGTAGCATTTTTCTGACTATCGGCATGGTGCGGATCGCTTTCTTTGATTACCATCGCAGCGCGACAGGGTTAGATTCTCAGCCGCGATAGACATCTCTGTTATTGAGTCCTAGTAGTACTAAGAGGGGTCATTTTTGATTCCACACCGTCAAACTTTCATACAACAAGGATATTTTATTCTCTCGAATATTTTAAAAACACGATGTGGGATGAGTACACAGAGAATGCTAGATGCCTTTAAAACTCGAAAAAGGTCTGTTACCACTTATAGGGTTAATTATTGATAAATTACAAATAGGTAGCTTTCTATCATATGAAGTTAAAACAATTTCTACCACAATTTACACATTTATTTTCTTCTAGCTCAGTGAAGTTGATAGACTTCTCAATGAATTGACAAGTCATCGTGAAAATCTCGAACAACGTTTAGATTTAAGCCAAAAAATTCATTTTCAATTAAATGAATTTAATAAACAATATCTCTTCTATGAACAATGGTTTGAAAATATTCAACGAACAAATCAAATACTTTCTGAACAAACATTAACAATTGATGAAAAATTACAACGATATCATGATATACAAATTGAATTAGATAAACGTAAACAAATTCTTAATACATTAACACATGATTATCCTCAAATAATTCAACAAATATCTTCACCTATTCAACAATTACTTACAAATATTGAACGATTAAAAACAAGTATAACTCAAAAACAACAAGTAAAACTTTAAATCTAAATATTTTTTTTTGATGTTCTTTTTCTGTTCTATTTTTCTAGGAATATGAAAAACAAAATCATCAACAAAAAGATTATCGTAATCGTATTGAATCATTATATGAATGGCTTAAAAATATACATCGATATGAATCATTAAGTGATAAACGTGATCTAGATTCTCTTCAAAAAGAACAGAAACGTCTACTTGATAATCATCAATCTATCAATGGAAAAATTCATGATATTGATTTATTATTACAAAATATAAATAAGTTAGAATAAACTTGAAATTATTTATTTATATTTGATTTTTTTATTTTAGTTCAAATTTACCTAATGATACTCTACAAAAATTACAACAAGAAATGGAACATTTAAAAGAACGTTTTACTGAATCAGTTACAGAACTTGAATCTCGAACAATATTTATTAAAAAAACTATTAAAGTAAGCTGAGAAATATTTAATACGCATGTCTATCATTTTTTTTCTTCTCTCAATAGGATGTCGATGAACAACAACGTAAACATCGTAATTATCAAGAATCTTTTAATAAACTTACTTCACTTGTACAGCAAGATAGTGAAACATCGGATAGAGTGAGAAGAATTAATTCTTTAAAGATAATATTGAAACTATCTTTTGTAATTTAGTCAATTGAAGATGCATTAAAATCTCTTGATGAACAAATGGTAAAATTCGAGAATGAAAATGAAGAACGAGATCGACGTAAACGTGAACGTGAACGTGAATGGCATTTATTTATGGATGAAATAAGTTTATTACGTGATAAATTAACTACATTTAAACAAAGAAAAAATAATGGAAATGATTCTATTGAAGACCAACTTCATTTTATACGAGTAATTTTTTGATTTACAAAATTTTATTTCATTTTCCTATTTTCATATATAGAATCAAGAACAAGAATTAGATCAATATCAACAAGATTTATTTCATTTAAGACAATACGGACAAACAATGTCTATTGATGATGGTAATTCTATGCCATTACCATCAGAAATTCAACTTTTACAATCAATGATTACTTTCCTAAAAGATCAAGTATTTATTTTTCGAAAAATTTTCTTTCAAACTATTATTTTTCTTTAGTTTGAACAACGTCGTCAAGGATTAATTCAAACTGAACGTCGTCGAGATCTATATCTTAATGAATGTAAATTATATGAAGATACATATAATTCTGCAATGGAACGTCTTAATCATTCAATTCAAATAGCATCTACCAGTGATCAATATGCTCGTCAATTATCTGAATATAAAACTTATAATGAACAAATAAATTCAAAACGTCATGAGATAAATCTTTTATATGATCAATTAGATCAAGATACACGTACACGTTATATAAAACAACATCATCAATTAGAAAAACGTTCAAATGATTTACAAGATAAAATAATTCAACAAATAATACGTTCAGAATATTTATTACGATTATGGAAAGAATATGAAATAAGACTTGAAGATTTCAAAGATCTAATAGATGATATAGAAAAAAAATTATCGTCAATAAAACGTTTATGGTCATTTGAACAAATCGAAACAGCTTTTGTTCTTTATAAAGATTTTAAACAACATTTAGTAATTATTGAACCAGAATTATTACATCTTAATGATGAAATACAAACTCTTTGTAAAGAATTAAATGTTATCTCATTACAAAATGATATTACACATGTGAAAGATAATTTTAATAGAATAGCTATAGATATAAAAGACAAATTTGATAGTCACAAAAGTGCAATTGTAATCGCTAATGATATAAAACGTAATTTAAATAATTTTGAAGAAATATTAAATCAATGTTCAATTGAATCTCAAACGACAATACATGATGGAGATGTTACTGAAATGAAAAATCAGTTAGACAAAATGATAGTAAATATATATATTCGATTTATTATTTTTAAAAATCTATTCCATCTTTTTAGGATGTGGAAAAACGTCTTGATAATATTGCAGATATTTATTCAAATACAATTACATTAGTTAAACGTTTAACAAGTTATAATTTATATGATCTACAATCAGTAGAAGAAATATTGAAAAATTTCCATCAAAATTGGAAATCCATTAAAGTAAAATATAATTTTTATAAAAACAAAAATCGATTTTTTATTTTATAGACAATCGTTTTACGAAATGAAAATATTCTACATGAAAATATTATCAATAATTTACCATCAAGACAAGCTTGTAAAGCAATTGTTTCATTTATGGAAACAATAAAACGTTTATTGGATGAAGATCATGGTGCACCAGTTAATAATAAAGAAACTTTAGAAAAATTACTCAAACGATATCGAGTAAATTTTATTTTTTTTTGTAAACATATTTCAATTGTTTTTTTTTTGTAAAGGATATGCATGTGGATGTACTTAATCATCAAATGGTTATTGATATTCTCAATGAATCATTTCAACAAGAATCAAATGTAGATCTAACAAGTATTGATTATATGGAGCAAATAAAACAAATTAATATTGATTGGATTAAAATAAAATCATTGATTTCTACTCGAATCGATGTAAGAATAGAAAAGTGATTTTATTTATATATTTTGCTTTGTTTTGAACAGAATTTAGAACAATTGAATGATCAATTCAATGAATTTGATCAAACAGTTCGTACATTATCGGATTGGTTTCAAGAACAAACATCTGATCTTGAATTTATGCGATCGAGAAATATGGAAGCTGGTATTAAAGATAATTTACGGCGATGCAATGTAAATCATAGATTTTTTTCTTTGCTATAAATATTTTCATTCTTTTTAAATATTAATCAGGAACTTGAATATCAATTATCATCTAAACAACAAGTACTTACATCATTAAAATCGTATGGTAATCGAATGTCATCTTCATCATCAACATTTCGTATATCTGATCAAGATGGTACAATACAAAATTTACGTCATTTAATTGATCATTTATCACCATCCATTGAACAATTAAAATTAAAATCGAAATCTGTTCTATCAGATTGGCAAGACTATAATCGTAATTTACTTCAAATAGAAAAAATTTTAAGTGAAGCTGAAGCAGAAGTTGATCGTGTAGAAACAAGTGCAGTAAATGTTGAAACTTATGAAATGAGTACAAGAAAAGCTCAAGTAATTTTTTTTCAAAATTTTCTGATCACTTTTAAAAATATTAATTTTTTTTAGGAACATTTACAAATCATAGAATTACATCGACATGAATTAGAACAAATCACTTCTCAAGGTCGTCAATTATCCGGTCATTGTGATGATCAAACATCAATAAAAATTAATGAAATAACTCAACGTATTCAACAACAATGGACAACAGTTGAACAACGTTTAAATGAAATAACTAAATCAGCACGAGAAGTCGTTGATAATTGGAGACAATTTAATAGTTCATATGTTAATTTACTTGATCGATTGAGTGAACTCGAAGGTCGATGGTATACAATTCAACGAGAAAAATTTACATTGGATGTAGAATCACTTTTAGAAAAAGCTAAGGTAAGTAAGAGAAAAATTATGCAAGTACGATGTTTTTTTGACCTCTCCCCTCCTCATGGTCACTCAACAGACATCAGATTCGAAGTCCGCGCATTGAAATACCTCTAGAAATGTCTTTCTCGGAAAATCGGTTTTCGATGTTTTTTTTTGACCCTGCGAACAGACAAGCAATCAATTAGAAAATCATATGTCTTCATTTAGGATTTTCAACAACGTATTCAACAACTCAATAGCGAAATAACAAAACTTCATGAATATTCGTTAAAATTAAATAAACATTTACCTCCAATTGCTGTTAAAAAAATAGATACACAATATTCTGTTATTAAAAATCAATATTCTGAATTATGTTCATTTCAAGATAAACTTTTAACTGATTGTAATGAATTAAAACAACGTGAGAAGGTTTATTTCGAATATATAAATGATTTAACACAAATAATTAATCAAATTCAAACAACACTTAAATCTCAACAAATCAATGATGAAAATGAAACAAATAATCTTAAACAACTTCATGAACTTCATACATTACTTGAATCAAAACATGATTTAATTGAACGTTTAAATTCAAATGAATATTTATCCTATTTTAAACGTGCGAAACATTTTCATGAAATAATGATTGAATATTCTCATACAAATGAATCAATTAAAAATCGTATAAAACAACTTGAAGGTAATCAATATAATAAACTTAATTTTGATAAACGTTGTCAAAAATGGAATGAATATATTCAAGCTATTGAACAAAATTCATCTGTTGTACAAGATAATTTACATACAAATTATCATGGTTTATTAGAAATTGATACGAATTTATCGAATATAATCAATGATTTTAATCAACGACAACATGAATTAATACAATTAGTTAATGAAGGTAAACAATTAATTGAAAATAATTTTATTATTGATCAACAAACATTTATTAAACTTGAACAACGTTGGCAAACAATAATGAAAACAATTTTAACTAAACAAGAAAATGTTAAAAATCTTATTAAATTATGGTTATCATATCAAAATTATTTAGATAATTATTATCATTTATTTAAAATCAAATATGAATATGAACAAGAACAATTACAAAAACCAACTATTGTATTAATTAATCAAATAGAACAAGGGACTTATCGAAGTGGATTAGAAAATGATGAATTAAAAGATTTATTAGATAAAATTTATGAAATCAATCGAAAACTTCGAATACATTCAGATATGAATACACAAATAATATTAGAAAAAGAATGGAATGATTTACAAAAATCAGCTAATGAAATTAATATGAATATTAAACAAAGATCAGATATACTTTTAACAGTAAGAAATTTGACTTCTATGAATTAATTCAATATTTTTCTATTTGATTCAATTCATAAAAAAACCAATTCTTTTATTCTAGTATCGAAAAAATTCTGAAAAGGAGAAGGTAATCGGATATATAGATTCAATTCTCGCATGATTAGTTGAGATTAGAAAAATATATAAATTATTTATTTTCAGCTCATATACACAAGATATCTTTAGACAGATATCGACGTTTGTGCATGTTCATTGATTTGCTGTTTTTGTTCTATTCTTCTGAAAATACATTATCTTTTCTCTTTTTTTAGCTTTCTTTGCTTATTCTAGGGATTCTCATTCAGATAGAAATGTCATTTTATAAGAATAAAAACTAGATATAAAACAGATATATTTTATTTGTATTATTTTTCGTTTAATTAGTTACTTCTTCGTTATAATGAAGTTGATCGAACATTGGATAATTTGAATATTTTAATAAAATCAATTCGTACACTTCAACAACAACCAACTGATGAACTTGATCAATTTATTTTACAATGTCAAGTAAATGAAACCTTAAAATTGGAGAAAGAAAAAAGAAATTAAAATGAACTAATCTATTTAGAATAAAGATCATGAACTTAGTCAACATCGATATGAATTACAACGTATACGACAAACAATAACAGAAGTAATTCGATTGATTTTCTATAATTCAAGGTAACGATTTTAATTAAAACTTTTTCTTTTTACAGATTTCTCCTGACTTACATTCTGATGACATACGTCAATTAATGCAAAAACTGAAGTAAGAAATAAAAAGAATGAAGCTATCGTGAATTCATTTTATATTTAGTTTACTTGAAATTCAATGGACTGATGCTGAACATGTTCTAACAACATTAATTGACGGTTTAACTAAAAAACGTTCAGAATTTCATGAATTTGAATGTAAATTTAAACGTCTTTATGAATGGTTAGAAAATTTTTGTAATCGAGAAATGAATTATCGTATTGATGGTTTAACACTTGAAGCAAGTCTTGATATATTAAAAAATGAAATACGAAATTTAATTTCTGATAAACGACGAAATGTAACTGATTTAATAATATCATCACGTGTTTTACAAACATATTCAATTGATCAAATGCGATTACAAACAATTAAGCAACAAACTGATCAATTAGAACAATTACTTAATAAAACGGAAGAACACATTGAAAAAAGGTTTCTATTTTTTTGAACAAAAAATATCAGTTCATTTTTTAATTTAGGATTAAAAAAACGGAAACAATCTTAACAATGTTACATGATTTTGAACAAGATTTAGAAAATCTTCGGACATGGATGGATACAATCGAAACAAATCTACAAAAACCATTCTCATTAAATACATTCAATACAAATGAATTATATAATTATCAACAATTAATTCTTGTATGTTACAAAATTTTCTTTACAAAAAAAATAAATCTTATTTTTAGGCAATTGAAAATGATATGGATAATCATAATACAATAATTAATAATGTTCTTGCACTTGGACAGAATTTATTGAATGAAAGTGATATTCGTCCACGAAATATTGATACAATACCACGAACAATTCATTCCATTGAGCAACGATGGATATCATTGAAAGATTTAATAAGAAAAAGAAAACTTGAGTAAGAAAATTTCATTTCGATTTTCTGATAAAATAAATTTTTGAATAAATAATAGATTAGAGACTATCAATGTATCATGGAAAGATACTGATGATGGAATAAAACGTGTATCGAAAATGATTACTGATCATGAAAGATTTGTTAGTGAAATTCGAAGAACAAGTGGAGAAGGTGTACAAGGAATTAAAAATGAATATAAAAGTCTTGAGGTTTGATATAAATAATATCATTTATTAAAATAATCTATTTGAATTTTTTTTAAGAATTTCAAACGTACATTAGATGATGATGGAAAAGATCTTCAACAAATAATAGATTATTTTTCTGAATCCATTCGTGTTCATCCAATAGCTGATACTTCAAATGAAATTCGAATAAAACTTAAAGAACTTAATAATCGTTGGACTACATTAAATGAAACAGTGCATGAAACATTAAAAAATGTATATATATTTATTTTTCTTGCATTTATTTATTTATTTTCATTTGTTATAGCTTAAATATATGTTAAGTATTCATGGTGATTTTCAATTAACACAAGATTCTTTAGCACTTTGGTTAACTGATCTTGATGTAGTTTTAACGAATCTTGAACATTTATCAGAAGCATCATCGAAAGAAAAAATTCGACAATTAAATGTAAAGTTTCAAGTCAATCTAAATTTAAATATATACTGTATATTTAATTAGGAAATGGATGAAGAAATTCGAGAAAAACAAACAAAAATTGAATATGTTCGAACATGTGCAAATTATTTACTTGGTAAAACAATTGATGCACGAGGTTTAACAATAAATATGAATGAATTAACAAAATTTTGTCAACAATTAAAAGATTTAACCAAACGTATTAGTAAACTTAAGAAGAAATTAACTAAATCAAAAGCTCATACTTCACCATCTTCAAGATCTCGTTCTCCACAACGTTTACTTCGTTCACGAGATCGATTATTTCATTCATACAATCAAATAGAATGGGGAGATCGATATGAACGTGCTCAAAATTTATTTTCTGATTTTGAAGATATTCTTTTACAAATTAATGGAGATTTTCTTGCTAAAGAAGAAATAATTCGTTCAGAAATACCACGTGGTGTTCATATTGAAGATTTATCTAATGAATTTACTTATGTAAAATCATAAAGAATATAGAATATAATATTCACACTATTTCTTGTATTTTAGACTCGAATATTAACAACAACACGTCGAAAAATCGATGCATTACGTGAATTAATAAAACATATTGAAAAAGAATTAAATCCTCTATTAGTTGATGATCTTAATAATGATCCAGTAGTTATCGGTAAGATTTATCGATCGTTTTTTTTTTGTCTTTATTGATATTAATTATTTTTATATAGATATTATGGAAAAATGGAAACGTTTAGAAACATTAGCTCATGATAAAGATGAACGATTAAAAGAAAATCGTAAACAATGGAAACATTTTCAACGGCAATTAGAAGATCTTGAACTTGCTACTCAACAATTAACAAATCTTAATTATTCAGGTATATTAAATGAATATTTTTCATATGGAAATTTATTTTTTGTTTTTTTAGTACCTCGTACTGTTTATTCCAAAGCAGATGTACACCGTGAACAAGTTCATCGATTAGGTTTGTAAATAAAACAAAAATATGTATATGTTTAATTTGAAAAAATTCTTTAGATGAATTACAAACATTATTTCAAACTATTAGAAATATAGCGGATCAATTTAGTGATAATACAAGTGAATGGTTACTTATTGAACATCGTCTTCAATCAATAAAAGAAAGTTTTGACCTTTTATCACTTAAAACAAATCGTGAACATCGAGAAATTAAAGTAAAAAATTTCTATGATGTATTAAATAAATCCAAAATAAATTTTTCTATTAGACAACTCTTGTTCAAGCTGAAGATATAAAACGTGAAATATTAGGAATAACTTCTCAATTAGATCATCTTGAATCATTGAATCATTCACTGGAACCCGTTGATGAAAATGAATTACATATAAGTATAAATCGTACAAAACTTCATCGTTTTATTCGTATTCATGATGATCTTGATATTCTGAATGAACGGTTAATTTCTCTAAATGAACGCTCTGTATGTCTACTATCTGGTGATCATTTACGTATAAAAAATGATTTAAAATTAATAACCGATCGTTTAAATTCAATAAAACGAATTGTGAAAATTTACCTTGAACGTTTAGAAAAATTCTTAGCAAAACATGAATTCCATGAAAATATTTTATTAACAAATCATTCAACACTTAGATCTTCAAATAGCAATCTTCAGGTAAATAGGAAAATAGAAATACAAATAAATATTCATTAATCTTTATTTTTAGCGTGTTTATCAATGATTATTTATTATGTTTGTTTTTTTTATAATGTCAATTAACAGTGAAGATAAAGCTTTATATTCTTTCGAAAAAAAAATCTATGGCACATTTTATAACATTTAATTATGTGAATTTTGTTTCTTCCACATTTTCTTTTCTTTTCTTTTCTTGCATGAGTATGCTTGTCTTTTATATGTATAAGAATATAAAATAGTTTTGAAAATATTTGATCTATCTAAATTACTATTCTATTTGTTTTTTTACGTATATTAATTATTACTAAGAAAAAAATAAATATTTGTAAATGATAAATATATATTTGAAAGTAGACATTTAGAGTCCATTGCAAGCATGCAACCATTTTTAAAGTGAGTGTGAGTGTGGGTGTTGGTATCGTATTCATCTTACACCCACACACATATACCCCTCTAATTATTAAAAGAATAAGAATATGATCTTTTTCATGAAATATTATTTAATAATATAATTTTTTAGAATATCTTTATACGAGTCAACTGCAATTTTTTGTTCTTATTGATCAATTTGCTTGTATGTAGAATGAAGTTAACGATTTATTTTGAGAATCCGAAATACTATAATCTAACTAATCTAGTATTAGATAATTTTTGTAATTATTTTGAAGATTGATTTATTTACGAAGAAGTTTTTATTGTATTATCAAATGATCAAGTTAGAAAATTTGCTCAAGTTGATGAATATAGTAATAAATTTGAAAGGAAATATACTTATCTAATTAAAGTAAAATATTTCAATCAATTTATTTTACAAATAATAATTTTCTTTAGAAATGACTATTTGCACCCAGATAGATATAATGAATTAATTAGTCAATATTAAGTTATATCATAGTTTTACTTTATTAACTCTTTACTACATTAAAAGAACGTATTTATTATGTATTACATTTACGGATATGAGAAAAAAAACTTTATTTAAATAAAAAGCAGTTAGTTTACAAACGGTTTTTTCACTATATTTCATCGAAGTGTTCAAAATTCTCTCAGTTATCAGATTACTTACCAGAAAAAGAATCTTTATCGTGTTCCTTTTTCTGAGTAAAGTAGAGAAAATATTTTTTCAAAAGATATGAATAGATTTTTTACCTAAAAAAATACTATATGAATATAAAAGAATTTAATTATTCTTTTATGTAGAGATATATATGCCGCATCGAATGGTAGAAAAATGATAAAGCAGCTAGCGAAGTCAAAACCGACTTCAGTTAAGTTAAAAATATTCATGTAATTTCAATATAAACAAGAAAAACAACAATTTTTGTGTCACTCGCTCGCATACTGGTTACTTTTTCGTTCTGTCACTTAATAAACGTTGGCTATTGAAAACAATTCGTGCTGTCTAGATGAAACGAAACGAGAAAAGAACGTTTATGTAGATATTTTATCTTTTGTATAGCATACCTAAGTAAAACGCCGAGCAATGTGATTATAGATGAATTCCTAGGGTGGGCATGGGTGTGGGGTGAGTGTGGATATATGTGGGTATTATTTCCATCTCACATCTGCACCCACACCCTTAATAAAGATTAAGTTATTTAAATGAACCATTAACCTAAGTTATTTATACAAAAAACAGATAATTATTTTCTCTTTTTTCATATTCAATCTTGCATGTACATTGCATTGAAAGATGAGGACAAAAAAATTACTAATATGAACAATGGGTCACCATATTTTGTAACCTTGTCTACAAAATCTTCATTCAAACTATTTTTCTATCATTTATTAAAAGTTAAAAATATGGACTTATTTTTATAAACTATTGTTTTTGAATAAACAGTAAGTGAGACATAGAACATATCAGTGTTAGCAATCAAAATTTCTTCGAAAATATGTTTTGTATTAAAACAATAATAATGGTTCAATACAAGAAGTACTCCGTTTGCCTAGTTCTATTCTTCTTAATGTTTTGATGTTAACTCCCATGATTGACTATTTTCTTTTTTTATTTCTATTAAAACGTTTCTTTTCAAATCGAAGTGAATCAAACACGACAAAGAAATCAAATAAAAGACCAAAAAGAATTTTATAATGCGCGATGTATGTGCATCTAATGATAAGCGACAAAGCAAAGTAGAAATTTCATGTATCAATAATTAAAAAGAATACAGGAATGTAAATGAAAAGTTTAAGGCTTCCCCCCCCCCTCCGAAACCGATTTTCCATACGGTGCATGCAATCTTCACGAAACTTTCTACAGATACTCGACCCATGGAGGTACAATTGTAAAAAAAATTTCAAGGCTCTAGCCCTTTCCGTTCGGGAGATATACAGGTACCAAGGGGCAAAATGGGGGTCC